ATCTATCTATCTATCTATCTATCTATCTATCTATCTATCTATCTATCTATCTATCATATATGGCTGCCCACCTCACAAAAAGTGACTCTGGGCTGTGTACAACATTTGAACAACCAATACACTCTGGATGAAATCTTCTGAGCTAGCTCTGCAGCAGAAAGCCTACTACTACCTATGTAAAGATAATTCTTCAGTCTAGAGTCTATTAAAAGAAAAAAGAAAAAAACTATTCCCAGCCATGTCCAGTATAAATTGTGATGGTGCAAAAATGACAAAATATGTTGTCATGTCATGGCACAAGTTCTGTCTCTTAAGTACTTGTGTACAATATCATGATTAAAGTACAAAAGGGGCAGAGTTTGTGTTGTGGCATCACAATGCACATTTTGTTATTTGTTCTCCCTTGCTCCAATCTCTGGATTCCCATGACTATTTCTTTCAGAACCAACAATTGCAGCCCAAATATCAAAATGATCAGCAGGATAAATCTATTTTCATGTAAAACATTTGTAGTCAGGTTTATGGGATTTCTATTCTGAAAGAAGCAGTGGGTCTTTCACAATAAAGTTAGTGGATAGAAGTTGTGGACAGAAACCTTAGGTTATGTATTGCCTGGATCTTTAGACTGACATATGGTGCCTTGTCATAAAATGGGAGAGTGTAGTGACAGCTGTATATCAAGAGTTTCTGAGTTTTTTGCTGGCATGCAAAATATGACCTTCAAGATTCCTCCACAGTTCTAGGCAACCATCAGGTTAATTACCAGGAAGTAATTCCTCCTCTGCAAAAATATCTCCAAATTGTTGTGATTGGAAGTTAATGCCTTTGCTTCAAAATACAGCAGTATAATGCACTAGGGCAATCTATCCATCATCCTGGCTGCTACATTCTCTATCAGTTACAGCTTCCAGACTAAGAACATAATAACTTTTTAAAATGTTAAAAGTTTAAAAATGTGTGGATCATGGATTACAGTGACAAAGATATAGCTATGTACAAATCCAAATTCTATTTTGACCTGGATAGCATATTCAGAGAACATGTTTTCCACGAAATAGTTTTGAGAGAGCTTTCTTAATTGCCTCATTTCTCATGCTGTAAATAATTGGATTCAGCAGAGGAGGAAGCATTGAATATATCACTGTAAAAACCAAATCCTGATATGACGGAGTGTCAGAGGTGGGTCGCAAATAAGCAACACTACCTGTAAATAAAAACATGGAAAATACAATGATGTGGGGAAGACAAGTTGCAAATGCCTTTTGCCTTCCCTGCATGGAAGAAATTTGAAGGAGTGCTGTGAAGATATGTACGTAGGTCACAACAATGAAGAAGAAGCAGCCTAACCCAATGGCAACGCTTAAAGCTACAACTCCAATTTCAATTAGGTATAAGTCAGAGCAGGCAAGTTTAAGTAACTGGGGGATCTCACAGAAGAACTGATTCACCACATTAGAGCAGAAAGGGGTCACAAAAGTTCCACTCGTGTGTAAAACCCCATAAGCAAGACCAGCAAGCCACACGGCAGCAACCATTCGGATGCAAGTTTGCTCATTCATCACCATTTCATAGTGCAGTGGATTACAAATGGCAACGTACCGGTCATATGCCATGACTGTGAGAAGAAAAAAATCTGATGACAAGAAAAAGAAAAAGAAAAGAACCTGAGCAACACATCCAGAATAAGAGATCTGCCTGGTATTCAGGAGGGAATTCAGCATGGATTTGGGCAGAATGACTGAAACAGAGCACAAATCCTGCACAGCCAAGTTCATCAGGAAGAAATACAAGGGTGTGTGAAGATGGCGGTCAGATGCTACTGCAGCGATGATAAAAATGTTCCCTGTTACAGTCGCTAAATATAGTATCAGGAACATCGTGAAATGAAGAATCTGCAGTTCCCGAGTCTCTGAGAATTCTAGAAGCAGAAATGTAGAGATGGATGTGTTCTGAAACATTTTGTGCACAGCAATAATTTCACAGCGCTAGAGAAAGAAACAGAAGGGGAAAATGGCTTGAGTAACTTATTTTATTACAGCTGACATGTGCTTATATCTTCATCTGGAGAGTCACTGAAGACCAACATTTCCCACCCATTGTTTGGCCTTTCCAGAGGCAATGGGAAGTACAGGTCTCATAGAGGCAAATTTTCTCCCATTTCAAGTCTTATGCCCCCTTCCCTGGTCCCACCAAAATATCTCTCATTGAATTTTGGTAGCAAAATGACTGAAGTTCAGTAGAATGATTCTGGAACCTTTCAGAGAATTTTGGAGGGGATAAGTGTGCAAATGAGTGCAGTTTACCTCTCAGAGGCCCTCAAATTTCATTCCTGCTTTTATTTTTCACATAAAGCCATGCAGTCAAAATCACAGCATTTTGCAACAAAAGCTGAATTTTGGAGATGACATCTTGGCTTTCTATGGGGACACAGCTGGGATGCTGGTAGGCTATATATGAAACATTAGCAATGCCCACCCCCAAAGTGAAACATTTCAGGTAAATAAGATGAAACACCACCGATACCAGCAACAGAAGGACTCTGGAGAAGATGGTACTTTATGGAGGCTGGGCTTCACATCACCAGTGTTTTTTTCCTTATTAGAGAAATCTTTCTAATCCCTACCATTGGAAAACCTGAAAGACCAGGTTAGGGACAGATCGCCATGGAGAAAATTTATCTAAGTGGTTGCTAAGAGCTGACAATGACTTAAAGGCACGTAATCAATCAACAATCTTTAATCCCTCCTCAGTCTAGTGGAATGACCTGTAGCTCTATGCCAGAAGCACTGGTCAGAAACTGGTGATGAGATATACAGCTTCATCCCTCAAATTAAAACTATTTAAACAGCTTTTTTTTTCTTTTCTGTGTCTCCTTTAAGAATTTACAGACAGGTGCTACATTTGTTCCATCTTTTTGGAATGAAATCTGAAGTGTTGCATAGCTGGAGTTATTTATTTCTTAGAATGACTTTCATCGCCTCCCAGACATTGAGGACTTATCCTACGCTGAATAACATAGAAGGAATCCTTGAAGTAATAGCTGAGGGTGCCAATAAAACTGTATATAGAGAACAAGGACTCTGGGCAGATGCTTGCTTTGAGAAGGCCGATGCCACTCAAACAATGTCCCCTCATTGTGGAACAGCTTGACCCTGGAATCAGGTTAGCCCCTACCCTTTCATCTGCTTGTAAATGGGTGAAAACTGTTTTCTTCTGCATAGCATTCGGAGAGAATGGCTTCTAGTTGGGGCACAATAAGTGTTATATTGTTACTTTTACATTTTGTCATAGAGCATATTAATATTTTAAACACTAAGAATCTGATAGGTTGTTGGCATTATCATCATCATCATGAACAGTACACACACACAAGAACCAAAGCCAAACTTCAGTTATTATTATAGCTAGTCAGTAATGGACTAAGAGAGTGGAGATCTCCCTGCCTGACTGTTGGGTTCACTGAATCAATTTGGGCCTGTCATATCCCACAGCTTAGCCTCCCTCACTAGATTCTCAAGCGAATGAAAGAGAACCCCTCTCTGCCTCCTGCCCTGCCCTGAAGAAAGACAGACTATCAAAGTAATGTAAAGAAATGGATAATTAAATAGGGGGAAAATGTCAGGCTTAGGAATACCTTACGGATTCTCTGCATGAATATTTTTTCAGTCCAGTCCAATCCAGTCCAGTTGCCCAGTGCACCTAGGACCTGATGAATTTGTCTGTTTCACCTGCTCCAAATGTTAGGAAGTGCAAGTTTGTGATTTGTGAAGAAAAAGGCTGCAGAAAAAAAATGTAAACTACCTCTGTGCACATTTCTCACAATGGATACATTTTATATACAGCTTTGTATACATTTTTTGGGGAAAAGTGAGAAATAAGAAAAACAAAGGGCAACTTGCATTTCAGTAAAGTGTGAATTAGACCTGCTGTTATTTCAATTTCTCCCATCCTTAATATTAACTCTTCTCTATTGCTCTTGACCCTGAAGATTAGAAAGTTGTGAATCTCATGTTTATCCTGTATGCTTTATTTTTTTTATAATATCACCTGACATTTGAATAGTGAACTGTATTTCTCCAGGGCACAGAATAGTTGTCATCAGGGGACTGCTTTATTTAAACATATCAGCTGCTCTTGGGGACTCCATTTCATAAATCTAATATACAATAACTCTAAAATAATCAAGGTAATAATTGATATTGATGGTGGATAAGCATGGTTGCAATAGTTTTCTTCTTTTTTTTTTTTACATAAACTATCGGTAGAGACAGAGAAAGAGAGAACATGAATTGCATTATGCCATGATACATGCATTTTAAGTTTTCTTACCTTGTGTCTTTTTTAATCATATATGCACATCTCCCATAACACACACACAAACACACATACACACCTTCTGTTAAAAAAGTTATAATAATTTATGGATTTCCTTCTACAATCATGTACTTCTGATTCAGCTATATATTACATGGGGAAATTTCAAAAATGTTTCAAGGAAAATTGATTTATTTTCTGAATCTGTCATTCAGGATCCAAATTTGGTTATGTAGTTAGCGCACACTCCCATTGTCCAGTATTAACTGGCTTGGAAAATATGGGATCCTACCGGAAGCTGCCTTCTGGTGTAAGTTCTGATGGTGCATCCTGGCAACATTGATCTGGGACTGAGGAGCTGGCTGTCCTACTTTAATATGCACTAAGGGGAATGGTCTTTACTGACTGGTTAAATTTTGTCATCTTGATTAAATAAAAGATACACTGGGATTTTTGCGAGTTCATTTCACTCTCCATTAAGATTGTCTCATTGTCTGATTCCAAGGATAGGGATGATAACATCATGCATGTACCTGTCAACATCAGTTACACTTCTGCCAAGGGTTATAATCAGAAAAGTGTACAGGTCTGATAGCATTGCAGTGCTTTACTCTGTAAACCCATTTGGTATGGATGGTGTACAGTGAGGAACAGAGCCTGATTGACCACATATCTTCTTTTCTGTGAGAATAGTCCCCTTTCTCTGGGCACTTTCAGATAGTTCTTGTTAGAGATTAGGGCTATATTTCATAAGACTACATCCCCCTTCATTTACAGTTCCATCAGTAAGACACAGTCTTTTTTTCCCACTTCTTTGAACCTTAAATTATTATATTTTCAATTTGGATTGGCAGGCAATTTCATCTTTTCAGGATACAATGAACAAGTATGATTAAACCTCTTCCTTTCTGATTTTGGGTCTCCACAAAGCACTGATACTTGAGAATCGATACCAAAATAATCATTTAAAAAGACCATCTTTCCTTGTTTGTTGCTGGTGGTACAGGAGACTTTACTCAATCCTCTCTCAACTGATTTGTCTGAAATTTGGTAAGTATGCTCTCACATAAATAGCTAGTGTTTGGTTGTTTATTTTTTATTTTAATTTGTGCCTCACCCGACTTCCAACAGCTCTAGGTGGTTCACAGAAAACATGAAAATCTATAAAATAATAAAATCAATACAGCAATAAAAGAGAAAGTAAAGATGGCAAAACTGGGCAGCAACAAACACCCACCCACTCCTTAAAGGAGGCTACACCCATCCTAGCCAAAGAGTTAAGTCTTCCAAGCCATCCAAAATGCAGCTGGCACACCTGATAAAGTTGTGGAAAGGTGCTTGTGGTCATCTGCCTCCAGCATCTTCTGCTACTGCAGCTGTTCAGTATAGGTGCCTGCTTGCTTTAAATGGGCAGGTGGGATGACTATGCCTTTGGTGGCCCTGCTGGGAATATATAGTCTTGGCATATACTTCTGGCATTCTTTGCTCATCCTTTACAGGAACACCCCCCCCCCGAACATCATCATCATCATCATCATCATCATCATCATCATCATGAACATCATCATCATCATCATCATCATCATCATCATCATCATCATCATCAACATCATCATCATCATCATCATCATCATCATCATCATCATCATCATCAAATACATGAATTAGAAAGGGTAAAGGGGTCATGCAGAAGCCTTTGTTCTAACCATGATTTCTGTCCACTAATGGAACAAACAACAATATGCAATAGTCTTTTCCCACTCTTCACTCCTACAGTGCCCCCTCCCCATCTTTTCTGGAGTGTTGAGGAGCACTCAGAAGCAACTATATAGGGGAGGGCAGGGAAGACGAGTAATGAGGGGACCATTACATCATGTGAACCAGCATGGAATGTGCAATCCTATATTTATTAAATAAAATTCATCAGGCTGGCTCATAAAAACATGAGTCAGTGATTAAAACATTAGAACTGATACTTCAAGCAGATCAGAATTTCATATAAAATATGTTATTTTGGGTGAATGTACTCTTCATTTTGAAATGTTCAAAAATGAATTCTGTATGGAGAATGGAGAAATTGCCTCATTGAATTCTCTCACGGAAGAACTCTATATATTATGACTTTTTCCTATTTTGGCTCTTAAACCACGTAAACATAGCTTTCTGATCTCTTGAGACTTTGTTCATAATGAATTTTGACTGAGCTCAGCAATAGGATATTCAGAATGCCCAAACAGAAGATGTACCTATAAATTTCCTTCTTGAAGAAACATTTCAGAAATCAGTTCATAACAATATTAGTAAATATCATATAGTGGGTTACTAAAACTAATTTAATGATTATAGTATCTGACAACCCACCTCGATCTAGCCAAATTTATGCAAGATTCATAAATAGATTGACAAGATTATGACAGATACTGAAGGGTGGCAAAGATGGGAAAGACAATGAAGTTTCCCAAGCAAGAAACATTTTCTTGCTAACCTTCATTGTTAATATATTTGTAATATAGTGAAAGAATGCCAGAAGCATGAGAAGATTCTACAGTACTGAAAGATTTCTATAAAATAGTAAGTTTACTTCTATATTTCATTTACTTAGCAATTACTGTTTTTTTCCATCTTTTTTTTTAAAGACCCTCCA